TGTCTCCTAGATTGACCATTCGACATTTTCTCGGAACTTTTATGGTCTCTCATAACGTGAAGTTTATATTTAAAGCTCAATGTCGCGAGGTGAACGTGCAGTTTCTAGAGTGGCGGGTCACTCAATGAACCAAACTATGTAGCTTCGTGTCATATCATACAATGCTTCTTTAAGCTTACGTCAATTAACAATTTAATTTGTAGGAATCAGCGGGTTGATGAATCAAAGTTATTATTAAAACGCTTTGTTTTGTCCTACGGTTCTTGTGATTTTTTGGCTTAAGGGCATCTACTAAGTCAAAGTTCGCCAGTATTGTTTATCTTCATTTGCAGCATAAAAGCATTTCATAATTCTCTGATGTTTTTCGTTGGTTTTCTTTTTCTTTGATATCAGAAAACAGACGAATTGAAAGCAATTAAGTGTAAACGGTTTCTACCGTTACGCCATAACGCGTTCCACTTCTTAGCAATTATCCATAGACGCCAGTAGTTGAGGCATAAAGCCTTATACTGCTTCGTCATGTTTGATCTCAATGATACATGTTAACATGTCAAAACCGTGGCATGTGATCCGTGAGAATATCTTTTCACTTGGCTATGACGTCATTAAATATGACGCAATGATTCTATTTATTTTGCACGAAAAGCCAAGGGATTTCAACCTCTAGTGCTCCGATTTGTTCATGTATCTAGACAACCTGTGAAATTCAGTGTGGGAAACAATGTTCTTAATTCCATGAACAGGAAGCATAGTATTCATTTTAAGCGTCGGAATGCATACTATGTTAGGACTGAGCTCGTTTGAGACAAACTGTCCATAATATGTATTTCGTCATTTTTATGTAAACAGAGTAAAGCAAATGTTTGTTTTGTGCAATCTCCTTGCCGCGGTTATAAAATCCCAGCCTCTAAATTACCAACTTGCTTATGTTTCTTTCTGCTTGGAGTAGCTTCTAGAAAGCTTAGACATTCAGAACGTCAAAACAAACGCTTCATCTTCTGTTCACCACGTGAATACAGTGTATATATATCATTTATACGATTTAATTGTTTGCAATTCTGTGCACCATTTCCTTCGTTTTAAAATCGTCTTCTTTTAACTGTAATTTAAAGATGACGGTTCAGTCGTCGATCTATGTCCGGGTATGATCGTTGCCCTTTGTCAGCTCTTTTCGAGAGGCAATTATCAGCAAATGAAACTTTTCGCTGTTGATAGGATTGACTACTGTCTTTACCCTTGGAAAGAGAGCGAGATTTAGGATGAGTGCTAGATTCGTGATTCATGTTTTGTCGAAGGCCCCCCTCATTCAACGGGTCTGACGTGGTTGACCGTCTCTGCAAAGTGTGTGCTAAATCGACTTGGTCCGCAACGAATGACACACGATTAGTAGCACGTTCGTACACCCGCCCATCCTGTAACCTCTTGATGTTGTGGTAAATCAAAAGAAATGCTCTCTCCATTTCTCTGTCGTATTTGCGTCCTTTACTGAATTTGTGGCCGTTCATGCTATGGAGCTTTGTTTGATGCCTTTTTCCTCTGACTCAGATCTTCAAATTGAGAGATAGAGTTCTTTCAGGCGATTAGTGCAGTTATGATACAGCAAGGATTCACGATCCTTTTTTCAGCTTATCATTTGCGTCAAGTATACCTTAAGGCTTCTTCAGCCACAAGACAATACGCCTTTATTAAGAATAAATAAAGCAAAACGTCATTGTATCACAGCATTTGTGTGGTTACCCAGCAACTTATGATAATGCACTACTGCCAGTGACCTTTTCATCCATTTTAATATTGAGATTGAGTCTAAGATAGTTGTTGCTATATAAATTTAATTCTTATTAGGAAAAACTTCCGTAACACTGTTATTAAAATCCACACTCAGGGAGTGTTTAAAGTTATTCATACATGTCAAGCGTTTAACTGAAGAGATATCTTGAACA